CCCTTTGATTGGTCGTCTCCACATCACGATGTACGATCATGAAAAATAAAAAGATTTTAAGTCTCAAAAATAGTGTATTTTACAACATATTATCTACACCGTCCATTTTCAAGATTTTCATATGTTTATAGATCTACTTGATTTTAACCATTTTTAAAATTTAAAATTTTATAATTAGATATAAAAATAGATTTTGAGTTAATCCTAAGAACAATTTATATCAAAATTATATATCATGATAAAATTTGAAGGCGCACCTTACCTCTACACCTACGGACGCATCCGTATGCCAACTGCACCATATTTGTTGCCATTGACTTTGAAATCATGAAGTCTAACGGCATGAGATGAGATGGTTCAATAACATGGGTGAAAAAATATATTGAATTCTATAGTATACTCTCACGGGAGCATACTACACAGCTACTCTTGGGAAAACGCCATACTTTGGAGTATTTTTTCGATCTAAAATTTTGGATCCACTTGAAAATCACATTTAAAAAAAAAAAAAAGGGGGTAGGCACCCGTCTGATTAGATTTAGCAGCTGGAAAATTACACGGTATTTATTCAATGTTAGATGCTATTTCTCGAGGCATATATAAAGTGCATGCGGGTATTTTTTCAGAGATGGGTCGGATGGTTGAGGAGATAGCATCCCCAATGTCTACAAATACTCCCACTTAGGTTTTACACGAGGGAGTAAATGGATAATATGCACCCACCGCGGGAGCATAAAATCTTCTCGCTAGGACATATAAGGAAATAATATCTCTAGAAAAAAGTGCAACCCGCCTTGGATTCAAAAACAAGGGGCGCAAACCATAAATAAACCCCTTAATTGAGTCTGACTATTGCATGTTAATCTCGAGAAAAACCGGTTATTAGTCAATACTAATCACACTTAACTTTGATTTTTCCACGCCTTGGAAACAGAAAACCAATCGCAAAACCCTCCCTTACGCCTCATATAGATTCTAGCGATCGCACTTCGAAGCAAACCTCTCATGTTCTGGCAAACACATCAACCGGCGCCATGAACGCTACCTCTCTCTCTCTCTCTCTAAAGCTTATAAACTCTTTATTCAAAACCCTCTTGAATGTCATTATACAACTCTAACCCCACCAGCATCTCTCTCTCTCTCTCTCTCTCAAATGGAGAAGCAATGGGAATGGAACACTCCACTCAAATTCTCTCTCATGTTCATCTCCTCCTTCTTAGTGGCTATGACCATTGTGCTCATGTCCATGGACCAAGTGGAGCTCCATTCCCTCATCGACGCCGGTCGCTCCGCCTTCTTCACTTTCGCCAACCCTAACCCTAGTTCCATTTCTCCGAATTCTAATTCCACCTCCTCCTCTTGCCCATGTGACCCTCCCAAAAAATTCACTGAAAAAACCAATTTTCCGGCACCAAAATTCCGAATGCTTATGGGAATCCTGACGCGCCCTGGTAGCTACAATGGCCGCAATCTACTCCGGCTAGCCTACAGTACTCAGACCACCAACGTGGCTGAAATCGACGTCAAGTTCGTCATCTGCAATGTCACCGATGGGAACGATCGTGTAATCGTGGCCCTTGAAATTATGAAATTCAACGATATAATCATTCTGCAGTGCTCCGAGAACATGGATAAGGGCAAGACCTACACGTATTTCTCCAGCCTTCCGGCAATGTTATCGCAGCCGTACGATTACGTCATGAAGACAGACGACGACATGTATTTCAGGCAAGGTTTATCACTGTTATCACGATTGTTATAACAATATTATCAACTTGACCTTACCTTTTTTCTATCGCTAACGTGCCAAATAAAATGCCAGTCGATTTGTTTTGCATGGGGCATTTTATCTGTACAACTGTGACAGAGTAATTGCCCTTTTTGAATTTGCAAAAAATTAATGGATGTCATCCGTTATAACACCAGTTGATTCTGATATTTCTGGAAAACGTGCGTGTTATATTCGTTATTTTTGGAAACCTACTGCATGATTTAATTAATAAAAATATGGTAGAGCATACCGTGATACATGCTACACATGAACAGTTTGCTGCATTGCACCTCGAACCTTTGATTTTAACAGTGAACAGCCAACTCCGAAGTTTGACCGTAGGAACAAATGCATCTCAAAGTTTTAACCATCTTTTGATGACAATAATGGACTCAAAATATATAACATTTTTCCATATATTTGGGAATTAATTCAATATTTCAATCACATATAAAATTTCAACTATTTAATAATTAATCATAGGTGTAATTTGATCAATTTCAAAACCTATAATGATGTGTTATTTGATCGGCAATTTGAAATTTGGTCAAAAGAATGATCTAATATCTAAGAGTGATTTACGTACAAATCCTAAAATTTTAAGTAAAATACAAAATATTATGCTTATAGGTGGAAATTACAAAGAAGGTCGACACTGCCCTACTAACAAAAAAAACTAAAAAAAAATAGTAATCAAAATGCGAGTGGACCGAAAGGAATTTTTTTTAAAAAAAATATAAGTGGATTGACCGATCTTCTTTGTCACTCCTGCATATAAGTGAAGCATTTTGTATTTTACCTAAAATTTTAGAATCCGTATGTAAATCACTCAATATTTAAATTTGTATTAAAAGATACGAGTGAGATGTAAAGCACTTCAATTATTAACTGTAACTTAATAAAGGCTCATACATAAGCAGTTGTTTACGTTATTTCCATTGTTGAGGGAGGCTGAGTTTGTTGTATACATTGGGGTACATAGAAAACTTTAAAAAATATAAAAATATAAAAATACTGTGCAAATGGTGTATAACTTTTTTGTATATGCTTTAAAGCTT